TCTCTCAGTGAATAAGCAAAACTTTGAGGGTGGGTCTGAAAGCTACACTAACTCTTTTTAGGCCAAAAGAGGATTCTTGAATGCATTGAAGGCATAATTTATTCAACATAAATCTACAAATATGGTGGCAAGACTATCCACTGAGAGGTCATGAATTGCTCCTTAGCTGTACCTTGGAGAAAAGGTCTATTTTCCCTCATTTGCTGATGCAAGAATTTCATCCACTAGCCCTTTAAGAACTTCCCAAGCAGTATAGAATAACATCATAGCTCTGCCCTATCCCTAACTTTGCTTTCATGTTTGTATACTGACTGTGGAGGAAAAATCTGTTTCCTACCAGTTGCAAGTCATTGGCCTTCTTTTTCTTCAGAGACAGGCACGAGCTATTAAAGGGACATCTGGTTTCACTCAGCATGTTCTGCAGAGAGACGTCCTGGTGCATTAGGAATTGTCTATTGGTATGTAGACTTCTTGACAGAGTAACCAAGTTAGGTTTCTGCTCTGCTTGGCCATCATTTTGTTTAGTCACTGACATAGCTCTGTCCGCATGAGCTACTTATGATTCATATGATCAGTTCTAGAATTATCACTAAAATTGGTAGGAATTTGCCCATGTCTACGAAACTGACTTTTAGATTTAGATCCACCCCCATTCTTCAGGCATTTTCTGATAAAATGGGAATCATATATGGTAGAAACACATTTATATGACATATATATCTGCACATGTATAAGTACATATATACATAATGTATATATGCATGAATATATATCCATTTACACACATATAGTGTATATATCTATAACCATAATATAAATGTAAAAAGCCAAAGTACTTCTTTATTGGGGTTTTAAACTGATCAAAACTGCAAGTTTATTTTTAAGGATTTGAACCTGTGGGAGAAAAAAAAATAACAAAAGTCCCTGACATTGAAAGGTGAAAAGAACTGTTGTTTCTCTGGACCAGAAGCAGCATTTTTTGGCTGTGTGGGGTCAGTGCTCTAGGCTCTAGGGAAGGGAAACAGAGAGTGAGAGGGTAACTGCTGTGCTGGCCAGCTGTGCATCTCACATTAAGCAGACCTAGCAGTTTCCAATAGGCTTGAACTCATTAAATATATTTTAAAGTCATATTTTCCTGTTAATTTAATTTTAGTTTCCTGAGTGTTAGAGATACAAATGACTGTCTGTAGGGGGATGAATTCCATGCAGAATTATCATATTTATTCTCACCTTATTTCAATCAACCAAAAGACCTCTTAGTACTCTAAGTGCTATGAATAGGGTGGGTTTCATGCATTTTTTGGTAGACACTTTATATCAATTACCATAAGATATTACTTTGAAATCTGCAGTAGAAGACTCCTGGCTCCCACAATTATCAGTAGAGTCCCATTAGAAAGGAAATAGAGACACTGTATGTAGTTTACTCTTTCAGAATGTCTTTATTTATTGCTTTAACATGAACTTGCATGATAAGGCTATTGTGCATTATTCAGTGTGGATCTGTGGATTTATGAATGAGCCAATATGTGGCAATCAATGATTCATACTTCTCCATTTCAAATGATGAAAAGCCTTAATGATCTGAGAGATGGATCACAGAAGAAAAAGAATGTTTGTTTTTTTGGTTTGTTTTTGTATATATCGTATTTTTCTGAGAGAAACTATAACTGAGGTCACACATCTCTCCATATTTTAAATGAATCACCCAAATCTAGAATGTTCTAGAGCTTTTCATGATTAGTGACTTGATGTTGTTCATTTGAAGAAGTGCAGATTCCTACACCAGGAGACCATATTTTATTTTATTTCATAAAAAAATAAACTTAGTTCAGGAGTTAGCTGTACAAAACCAGAAGAACTAAATTGTTTTTCTAACATAATGGTTAGTAACCATTTTGAGTATGATGACTCCTTTTTAACATAAAATAATTAATAGTATTCATTGATTGAGTAAATGAACAATGGTAAAATATACTATGAATTCAGTGTATTATAAAATTCTCTTTTTAATCCTTGTAGAAGCTAGATGTATTGGAAAAATAGAAATACATATGAATGTGAGACTTTTTTTTCTTTTTTTCTTTTTCCTTTTTTTTTGGCTAGGCAATGGGGTTAAGTGACTTGCCAGGGTCACACAGCTAGTAAGTGTTATGTGTCTGAGGCCGGATTTGAACTCAGGTCCTCCTGAATCCAGGGCCATTTTTTTATTTTAACCCTACAGAATAATTTATGAGATGGACCTATTGAAATAACTTTTCGATCCACTAGAGGCACAGTGAGCACAGGTTGGGAGTCAATGGTCTAACTGTTCAGTAAAAAGCCTAGCTAGAATTGTTATACTAAGAATATCACCTGTTGACAAATAACTTTGGATTTTGATTTCAAAGTTCTAGTTATAGACTCTGAGAATTGAAAGGTCATAGGTCATCTTGTCCAACCTATGCCTGAAATATGGCCCTCTAAAGACTTCCAGTGATGAGTCAATTGATTTTATTCTTCTATATGTCCATTTCTTAGGAAGTTTTCCCTTAAACTGAACAAAAAAAAAAAACCCCTACCTCTTTGTAATTTCCACCCATTGTGTCTAGTATTGTCTCCTGAATCCAAGCAAAATAAATCTAGTTCTTCCAAATATGAAGATACTGTTCACGTTCCACCAACTTTCTCAAACTTTTCTCTTCTTCAGGCTAAATATTCTCATTTCTTTCAGATTATCCCTACATGAAGTGGTTTTGAATCTTCTTACCATTTAAATTTCCTTCTTTTGTAGTCACTCCAGCTAGTAAATGTCTTTCCTAAAACACGGCACTCAGAAACGGATATACAATTTAACTTATCGTTGAAAGCTGGTCTAGGTCTGGGTGAAACCCATGTTTGTGATGTTTTTCTTCTTTAAATTTCTCTAATATACTAAAATTAAATCAATTGGTAGGCAAATAATTTTATTTTCTTTTTAAGAATTCATTACCTACCAGCTAGGCTTGTGCTTCTCCAGACTACCTCAGCTTACTGCCATAAGCTCCTTCTTCACCAAGCTCCTAGGAAGTGAATGAAGGTCTGGGGAACAGCTTGTGGCTGATAGATTTTGGGTGAATGTGTCTAAAAAGCCACCATAAAATATAGGTCATTGAGTAAGCATAGTTTGGGGATAGGCTGAGCCTTCAAGGAGGTTTGATATAAACAGTTCTGCTAAAATTGAGCTCTTCAGCAAAATGGGGTCAATGTCTCTAACCCAAGAAACAAGTTATAGCAATTTTCATCACAATTGTGGTACCTAATCTTGGAGAAATTGGCAGCATTTACTTAGCAGATGTCAGAATCTTTTTGGAAGGAAGGCTCCTACAGCTGACAAGCTAACACAAGTACTGCTGATGGGGAGGAGTGAGATGAGGATGATAATGATTAATAAGAGATATTTTGGTCACACTTTCAGATTTTTAAAATGCTTTACAAACATTTTATCCTCTGCTCTCAGTGAGATCACTGATGGAAAATGTAGGGTTCTTTATTTGTTCTTCACAGTACTCAAATGGTAAGCCACATGGGAATTTTAATTGTCATTTTTCAAAAATCCACATGGTAAAGATAAGGCCATTTGCAGATTGTAATGTTTCCAGAATCAGTTGTCTGAATGGACAGATGACATTGGAGGACCTTGGGTGGGAAGAGCCCAGAGTTATAGCAATATCTCTGCCTTGAGTTGGCAACCTTGGTTGAATTTCTGATGTACTTCTGGGTTTTCCATTTTCTATCTAGAGTTTAGAATCATTATATATCTTCCCTGGGAAACTGTACATATAAATGTTGATAAAATATTTGGCATCTCTTGAATTTAAGGAACTCTAGGAAAATGAAGTATTTTTATTAATGTCATCCTCTTTTATGATAGCATTGTGCCTATTAATTGTGATAAGGTATAGAAAAGGGAGATGCCAAATTTCAAGGTCAGTGATAGCTACATCTGAATATAACACATTTATCTTTTTGCCCATGGCTTTGTTGTGATCCTGTTATTCTGGTTTGTCTCTGGCATGATACAGGGGTAGTGATTAAAAGGCTGAGCTTGATTCTCAGTGTTTTCTGAGCTGCTTCTAATCAGCCTGTGATTCTCAAGATAAAACCCTTATGTAACCAAATTGTAGTCTTACCTCTTCCACTTAGGATTTCATGTTTATGGAGATGAGAAAAACAAGTCTTTTGTACATTGCCCAACACAAACCCCTTATTAATAAGAAGGGTTTTCTCTAGAGTTAAGCTATTCTCTGTTATATCTTAGCCACCTTTGAAAGTTGTGTTTCCTCTCTTTGTAAGATGAAATAGCAATTTAGTGAGTAGTAGCTTAGTGAGACAGAGAATAGGACCGAGTAAATATTCTTTGATGGGAAGGATTATCAAGCAGAGCAAGGCAAAGCTCTCCAGTGGGCCATTAATGGTTTATGTTTCACTCTTATTGATACCACTTTTTAATCAGCAGCTGAGGTTGTACCAGATGCTGATGTTATGACTGATCACATCTACCCTCTGTGAAACCTGCTGCAGTCTGCAAGGCCAACGGTGGATTGCGGCGCTCTGCAGTCCAGCCAGACTGCAGCACACTTGCTGCCACTGCCTCCATTGTACCTTGTGGAGATCTGGTGTAGATCTGTTTTCATAGAGGAGAGGGGGAGGATTTTCACAGGTGACCATACTGTTTTATAATGATGAATGCTTCTGTTCATTTTCAGGGGGAGATTCTTATGCATAGATTGCCCTCACAGTTTTACCTGGCATTTGACCCTTGACTACCAAAGGGTCAGCTTAACCTTCTGCTGAAGATGTTGTTTAGACAATGGCTTAGTTTTATAGATGCAAATGAAATGATTTGCCAGATAACTTCCAAGAGTTTTTTTATGTAGGATGTTAGGAAGTGTTCTGTAAAGTATTAGTAAATTGTTGCTTAGTTAAGAACATGTGTTTTTTGTTTAAATAACAGAAACATTCCTCTTCTGTTTTTGCAGCCAAAACAACCCAACCCTGACTGGCGTTACTCTGCCTCTCTGAGAGCAGGAATGCACAGGTATGTACTTTCCCTCCCACCCTTGGTTGAAATCTACTCTAACCCTTTACTACCCAATCAAAAAATGTCTCTGCGTGGCCTGGGCTACCTCAGTTGTCTTGCCAGAGAAATGCAAGTATCTTCTCCCCTTCCTGTACTGACCTATCACAGGAAACATTAAGATCAGGGCTGAGTTCTTGCCAAGAGTTGGCTCATGAGAAAGCACCTTGTAGGATCTCAAAGTACTCCTTTTCTCAAAAAAAAAGTACTCCTTTTCTCTTAGCAGAATTCTTTTGAGTGGATAACCCAGAGGTATAGATTATGAGCAAGCTTTTAAAAATGATGCCTTGGCCTTCTGATCCTTAGGATCTCTGTGTTCCAATCTCCAATGAATCCTAAGACAAATCTGTAGTGGACTGCTTACCATAGAAACAAGTCAAGATTTATAATATCTCTTTTGGGGGGAGAGAAGAATTTCATAGTCTCTGCTCCTGAAGAATAGTGTTTTTAGCACCCCCCCCTCAACTTTGATCTCCACTTTCCTTTGCTTCTTTATCCTCCCCAATTTTTTTTTTGGCTAGGAAATGGAGTTAAGTGACTTGCCCAGGGTCACACAACTAGTATGTGTTATATATCTGAGGCCGGATTTGAAATCAGGTCCTCCTGAATCCAGGGCCGCTGTTCTATCCACTGCGGTACCTAGCTGCTCCCGTCTTCCCAAATTTTAATTGCTCTTGATGCTCTTAGACCTAGGAACATTATGTGGTGAATACAATGTAATTCTTTATTTCCATCACAGATGAACCATTTCTGGCAGATAATTTAATTACTGACCTCCTTATCCTACAAGTTTCTGCAGCCATTGTTATTGATCAATAGGAACAAATAAATAAGATGCTTCCACATATTTGCCATCTCTCCAGAAGTGTTCAATAGAAGGCATGAATATTTTGGGACTTGTGGAGTGGCTGGAGCCCCAAATCTATCTGGATCAGACATTATTCTAGAACAAGAGTACCTCTTTGGGATCTAAATTAAAAGTAATTTTGTTCTTCCTACTTTGTCTTCTTGGCAGTAATTAATTATTATCATTCTCAGAGCAGACCTGCTATCAGTGTAATGGGAACAAGTTAAAAATTCATTGAATTGAAAGTTCTTTGGAAGCCAGAAGGGAGAGATAGAAGGCTAAGAAATCAGTCATCACTGGTTAGAAAAAGATAGCATCTTTAAGGAGTCTTTTGTTCTCCAGGGTCTGTAAGAGTCCCTAAAAACACACACTTGACAATATAAACTCCTGAAATGTTTCCTCACTGAGTTTTTCATCAATCAAGATGAATTTTCCTTTGAAGTAAAAATGAATATTAATCATTCTCTATAGTGTGTGATGTTGTCAAATTAATGCAAATGTATGTCAAAAAAATTAAATATTTTGTGGCTCAGAGTAACTCATTCTGTTGTAAGGCTTATCCTTTGGCCAAAAGCAATATGGAATTTTTGCTTTTTTTCTGACTGCAGAGCCAGTTAGGATCAGACTTCAGTCTGGGGCCTAGGAAGATGAGGACAGTGTCAGACAGAAAGCTGGAAAGCATTCTGAGCCTGACATGAAAAGATGGCTGGAAACTCTGCTGTGGATCCCAGACCACTGGGGAGAAGCAAGATTTCTCTCCATTTTCCATAGGCCCACAGAAATGTTCTCCTCCTGCACCTAGGTCTTGGTGTGGCAATGTAGGAAAGGTGCATAGCGTCTCATGGAATATTTCCCTTTCTATTGCATGGGAAACATGGCTTTGGCTGGAGAGGCACAGAATGCTAGAGAAATAATGAGTCCTGAATTTATGTAAAAATACTGAAACCCTAATCCTTTTCTTTCCTTCTCTTAAGCCATAAAGCTAAATGTAACCTGAATCAAATTTGAGGTAACATGCTTCTGTGTATTATATAGAGTGAAATGGAAGTTGAAGGAAGAATATCTTAAGAATTCCCACTGATTCTTTATTGAATAATATGTTGAATGTGCGTTGGAGTTGTGATCTCTAAATGGGATTATTTTCTCTTTTTTCCCCTTCTTTTTTAAAAAATTTTTAAAAATTAATTAATTTATTTTTAGTTTTCAACATTCACTTCCACAATATTTTGAGTTCCAAATTTTCTCCCCATCTTGTCCCTCCCCCCCAAATAGCATGCATTCTGAATACCCCTAATCTGCCCTCCCTTCTATCTCCCCCCCACCTTCTCTTATCCCCTTCCCGTTCAATTTTCCTGTAGGGCAGGATAGATTTCTATACCCCATTTCCTGTATATCTTATTTCCCAGTTGCATGTGAAAACATTTTTTTTTATCTTTTGTTTTTAAAATTTTGGTTTCCAAATTTTCTCCCCTCCTTTCCCACCCACACTCGTTGAGAAGGCATGCAACTCAATACAGTTTATACATGTGTAGTCATGCAAAACACTTCCATAGTAGTCATGTTGTGAAAAACTAGGTATATTTCCCTTCATCCTCTCCTGCCCCCCATTTATTCTATTCTCTCTTTTGACTCTGTCCCTCTCTAGAAGTGTTTGCTTCTGATTTCTCTCTCCCCCAATCTGCTCTCCCCTCTATCATTCTCCTGCTCTCTTGTCCCCTCTCTCCCCCATTTTCTGTAGGGTAAGATAGATTTCCATACCCAATTGAGTAAGTTTGTTATTCTCTCCTTAAGCCAAATCCGATGAGAATAAGATTCACTCATTCCCTCTCACCTTCCCCCATTTCCCCTCCACTGTAAAAGCCTTTTCTTGTCTATTTCATGTGAGATAATTTACCCCATTCTACCTCTCCCTTTCTCCTTTTCTCAGTATAATCCTTTCTCACCTAAATGGGATTATTTTTAAATGGTTATCTACCCTCTTGGACCTTTCATCTTTAAAAAATTGTATGGATCCCTTTCTGGGAAGTTATCTTGGAAGAGAGGTAATGTTCTGAGGTGCAGAATGAGACATGCATTTTCAGATATAGCCAATGTGTTGATTTGTTTTAATTAACATTTTATAATAAGGGATGGTTTCTGTTTGGGGGTAGGGGAGGCATTTAGGGGTAGCGAAAACACACAAAAAAGAGAAAAACATCAATGAAATGTTTTAAAAATTCACAGAACATAGCAGGAGGAAATGCCAAAGGAGACACAGATATTCAGAGAAGTTTTGTTAATACTATGTTACATTTAATATACACTTAAAAACTGTATGTAACAGAAGTTAACAGTTTCATATAAAATCTTCTTTTCTGTGCTTCTTATATATTGAAATGTTTTAAAGTTTGTTAAGTATATAATAAAAAAGGATTTTACACTAAAAAGTTGTCCTTGGCTAAATGAGGCCTTAGCATAATTTCTCAGGATGACTTAGCACAGGGTAAGTTTTAGAGTTACCATCCTCTAACTAGACATAGGGCTGCTATAGTATGTGCCACTGGAGACCTCTAATTATTCTTGGAGGCTAGTGATATTTGGAGCAAGGAAGAGATGCTGATCTTGTGGGATAGAGAAGGGGAAACTGGGAATTCTTTCTAAGTGATTATAGTGGTGAGAATTGGCAAGGAATCTTGACTTCAGATTTTATAAATTCCTATTTGACTTTTTCAGTCACTGAACCCTAAGTGTATAGTACATTTTAATTCAGACACCTCGGAAAGGTCTTCTTTGTAATTTGTTAGCTTTAAAGAAAAAAAGAGGTGTCCCTTATGTCTCTGCCACCATTTGGCTTCTAACTGGGGGAAGGAAACACTTTTGACCAAGGTTCTTCCTGTCCTTTGGCTTATTCCTTTTCTCTTGTTTTCTGTTCTCTTGGGTTAGGAATTGTAGGGACTGGTAGTGGGTTGCCATTAAGTGTAGCAAAATCAGCTCCATATACTGGAGAAAAAGGAGAGGTGGCATGTGCATATGAGAGATCTAATAGGAGAAAATCAGATGGTCCAGGTGAGAGCTGATTTGGTGACCGAATTAGCATAATTCCATAGGGACCTGGAAATAGTTATATTAACAAAAGTCAATATTTGTTGTAGAATCCTGGATGGGGGAAACCAACCTGAAGCTACTAGGAAGTAGTTTTCCTTGTCTAAATCAGAATTAAGACATTATAGTGGCATTAACACTCTGGTGTCTTTCCTTTTCCTTTTTTATCTATTTATTTTTTAAGAATGGGTTATCTATCTCACTCAGACTGGAAGTGCTAGGACCCATAAGGTGGGTCCCACTGTGATAAGCATGGGGACTTTGACCTGCTCTGTTTCTGAACTAGGTCAGTTCACCTCTCCTTAAGCAACTTGCTGGCTATACAACCCCACTCACCTGGTACTTGCCATGTTAATACCGAACTTAGTGTGGACACCCCACTGACATAGCCCACTGCAGCTGAGAATCCTGAGCTCAATAGACCCACCAGTGTCAACCTCCCAGTAGCTCAGATTATAGGTGTGCACCACCATGGCCAGCTCTAGTATTTTCTTTTTAACAGGATTAATGGGTCACATAGCATTAACGAAAATACAAACTTCTGTAAAGGTAATGTTTTTATTAGATGAATAGCTCTGGCAAAGATGTTGTAAAAGAAGTAGATAAACCAGCCCTGATCCTGCATCTCATGCAGAATAGTTGCATGACAATTGCTTCAGGTTGGGCATGAGGAGAACCTATTAGCTGCAGTACTGCCCCAATGCTTTGGAAAGACTTCTAAATGAAGAGGAGGATCTTGAAGGTAATTATCTAAATACTGTATGTGTGTGTGTTTCCTCAGCTCTGTGCACCTGGAGGAAGCCGGCATCCTGCGGGCAGGGCCAGGAGGGCCTGATCAGCAGTGGCCAACTGTGTCCAGTGCAACGCCTGGTGAGCTGCTGGGTTCTCTCCTTTCTTGGGCTCTGGGGAGTTTGGAGATGATCCTCTCTTGGGACAAGAAGGAACTGTGCCATAGAACTTTGTTCTATGGCAAAAATTCTTAACCTGGGGTTCATGAATTTGTTTAGAAAGACTTTTTTAGAACTGTATTTCAATGTAATCAGTTCCTTTGCAATCCTATGTGTTTTATTTTATGCATTTAAAAACATTATGCTGAGAAGGGGTTCATAGTTCATCAGATTGTCAAAGAGGTCCAGGATACAAAAAAGGCTAAGGACCCCTGCTCTTTGGAGACATTATTTCTTCCTGGTCTTATTGCTAAGGCCTGGTTTTCTTAGTCTCACATTGGTCTTCTTTTAGGACCAACTCTGTGGTCCTGAGCTGTTGTGCATAGTGATCTAGCATATTATCCTACATACTTAGAGTTCAAGCCACTGTCTAGTTGAAGGAATGAGTTACAATAATGTGTCCACACACTCTCACTTTGAGCAAAAACATCACTTTATTTTCAGAGTGGTCAAAGAGGATTAGAAGTACAAACTGGGGCCACTGAACAGAGAAAAGTTAATTAGCCCTTATCAGGGACAGGCTTTGTGACCTTGGTTCCATTAGCTCGATCTCCAACCTCCTGTACTAATCAACCACAGACATTCAATAATTTATAGTCCCAGGGATGGCAGCACTGAGGGTGGTCCAAGGGGAGAATGATGAAACCAAAGCTCTAAGCATAGCATAAAACAGTCACCCTGCTATGCCACACTTCCTTTCTACCCTGAAAATGATTTTTAAGAAAAGATTTCCATTAGAAGTCTGGAAACAAATAGTTTTGCTATTTCAAATGCAAAGAATTGGGGGAAATGAAAGGTTCAGACATTAAAAATTATCAAGATGATGTAAGTGTGCATGCAAAACACTCTTTCCAAAAATAATCAAGTACCTTTCAAATTGCTATCAGGCCATGAAAGTGAGAGACATAGCCAAGTCACCATCTTCTAGGCAGCGTTGAGGCTTTTGTTGATTATAATTGCATCAGTCTGCATTCCGCATTTATGAATACTGCACAATTCAACTCAAAGTCACATTTGAAAAATAAAAAAGTGCAACCCAGGGCAATTCATTAGAGTGATAATGCTGCCAGATGGCAAGAGGAAAAATGCAAAATTATTCATTGACAAATCAGCTAACGAAAACCTTCCGGTTGGAGTAGATAAGCCAAATGAAAGAAGCATTTGACTTCCAAAGAGTTGGAGGTGGGATAAGGAGGGGAGCAGTGGAAGGCCTAGAGAGAAAAAAATGGTAACCGTCTCTTTAAAATTCTAAATTAGGCAAACAAAATGAAATCTTACTTTACTACTCAGGATTTCAAAGTGACAATCCATCTTATGTCAAGATTTCCCTTGGTTGTTCTTGTAGAAGTATTGCAGGTCAGGCTTCTAAATAAGGAACCAAATTGGAACCCTAACAAAGCCTTTCAGGATGACCTTTGAAAGGTCACTTTCCCTTTTCATTTCTCTAACAGTTGACCATGCAGGAATAATGCAGGATACAGACCCCTGCTCTGTGGAGACATCATTTCTTTCTGATCTTATTGCTGAGGCCTGGTTTTCTTAGTCTCACACTAGTCTTCTTTCAGATCTAACTTTGGTCCTGAACTGTTACATGCAGTAATCTAGCAGAATATCCTATATACTAGGGTTCAAGCTTAGGGTTCATGCAGGGCAAGCTTAAAACAGATTGATATACATTCCTATTTAAAGATACAATATAGACCTACAATTGATTATGTAAACCTAGCCCAGACCATGAAGTCCTTGAGAGCAGGGTCCAGTTTTTTGCCTTTCTTTGTACCCTGACCACTTAGTAGAATGCCTGGAACACAGAAGGTGATTAACAAATGAATTTTGACTAGCTCAGAATCAAAGTTCTGGATTGACATGGATTGGTTTCAATTTGGGGCGAGCCCTACTGAGTGTACTCACTCTCTTTGACTCAAGGCCACAGCCAGGGTTTTCCCTGAGAACAGCAGAATATGGCTTACGTCTGATTCTCTACAACTCGGGTAAACAAAATAGGAACTACCACACAGGCTTTATTCAACCTGACTAAACGCAGAAGACTAATACTCGACCCCACAAAGAGTTAAGATGACTCTTCTTCCCTCTGTAGTGAGTCTTTACTTCCTCAAGGGCCTGTACGGTCTTCTAGGCTTAGAATACCACCCTAAGGTTGAACCTCTCCTACAGCAAATGGAAAGTGATTGGGGGAGCTAGAGTCAAGAAACCCTCCCCTTTAATGAGAACAAACCTTTCCTCTTCAGATGCTGAAAGTGCTCACCTCTATAGATGGTCATTCCCTTTCCCCAGACCTACACAATCCACATAATTCACAGTACCAAAGTCTCCTGCTGTTCCTTAGCATTGCCTCCTGCTTGGCCATGATTTCCCTTGCTGGGTCCTAGAAACTTGTCCTAGGAATTTTTCTAGTGGTTCAGGAACTCCTCTACTACACATGGTTTTCTGGAGCATTAGTACCTTGGAGAGTCACATGGCTCTTCAGACTGCCCTCCAGGGAACTGAGTCTATGTATATCCAAATGTATTTTAAGAGTTGAGTCTGAGAGTTCAATTCAAGCCTATGAATGAGCTGAATATCGATCAATAGCTAGTACTGACATATAGTACTTTAATGTTTGCAAAGTGCTTTAGAAGCATTCTCTCATTTTAAACTCACAGCAACCCTGGGAGACAGGTGCTATTATTATCCCCATTTTACAGATGAGGAAGATGAGGCAGACAAGTGTCAAGTTACTTTTCCAGGGCCATAAAGCTAAAAGGAGTCTGAGGCTGGATTTGAACTCAAGTCTTCCTGACACCAGGTGCCAAACAATTAAGCACCCTCAATGTACTCTTAATGCATAAACTAGGACCAGACAAGGAATTCACAAATTATAAAGGAGTTAATCTTGTCAGAGGAAATCTCACACCTTGTTAAGAAATTACTGGGAGTGCCAAAGATTGTTTCAACAATGCAGTACTTTACCCCTTATAAAGGGAGACACCATCACTGCCTAAAGTTTTCACCAATGAGGACCCAGGACAATGTCTGGGTGTACCTACTACAATTCTTTAATATTTACTCATCCCTTGATCTCTTTCAGATTTATGAGGGTACATAAAACTTTTTTTGGGGAAAAACCTAGGTGTGGAGTAGTCCCTATGTGTCTTACTGATACATGGTAGTTTACTTGTTTCCTGATTCATGTACATCCTTTACACATGAATGGCCGTCTCAGGGAAGATGTTCCAGCCAGATAGCTGCAGAAACTTTCTTTACTGTGCAACGGTGGCTGCTTACCCAGAGGTTAGACTAGAAGGATATATTGGATGTTGTCTGAAAAGTAGTCTGAAGAAGAAAAATATGAGATAAATAGAAAGCATTGTTTCCTTACCCAAATGGATTAGGTGTTTTTTCTAGACCCTTTGCCTGGCTTAGCTGGCTGGACTAAATTCAGAATTTATTGAAGTTTGCTTCCAATGTGTCTTCCCAGGTGTCCAAGCCCCAATACCTTTGCTCATGCCCTGCCTAGAGTAACTCATTAGTGCAGTTATCTGCAATATGTGCAGCATCTGTGGCAGAAGAGACTGCGAGCAACCTTTGAATGCAGCCACATTGCCACATGCTCTCTGATGTTGTTTTTCCTCCATTGATTAATTTTGTTTGCTTTGTCACTAAACTGCTCATTTAATTTCACAGTCCACAAAAGCCTCAGCTATGAGTGCTTCACTCTGGTGGGATCAATGGGGACATCACGAGGTGATGTTTTCAGAAGGATGAACAAGTCAGGCATTAAATAAGCAAATCCTGGGTTTCTGGCTGCTGCCTCCAGCTGGGCATCTGGATCAACAGACCTGGACCCAGGCTTCTCTAGAAGGGACTAGGGAGAGTAAGGAAATTAGCCAAATATTGATTGCTTAGACTGCAGTTAAACAGGGTCTTTTGATCTTTGCTGGGGGTGGGGAAAGAAGGAGAATGTAGGGTCAAAGAGCCAATGATATAAATTCCAATTGCCTTTGAATTTCCTGAGCAGGGTTTAAGAAGAGCCCTCCTGTTGCTGAGTTCCTCCAGGAAAATCCTAAAGGTTATAAAAAGCCTGTGGAGGGAATGGGCTCAGTCTCTGGGATGAAGAAGCTGCTTTAGTTTCTCTGACTGTGTTTCCTAGCTGTTCTTTGTGCATTTGAATTGTTTCAAGTGGTATACATGGATTATGGATAGACAATATGGATCATTTTCCTTAAGCTACAGTGCCTCCCTGGAGAGACTGGGCAGCACTGATCATTTTTCAGTGTGTCCATGGGAAAAGCAAGGGCATATGATGTCTTTTTAGATCATATTATATATAGTGTATAAAGCTAGTCTTCAGGGACCCTTAGATTGAACAGTGAAATGATAATGGAATTTAGGCATACTGCAGAAAGGCACAGATCATGGATTAAGAGCCAAAAAGTACTTTAGAAGTCATCTAGTCCAAACCCTCACTTTTCAGATGAGAAAACTGATGCCCAGGATGATTTAGTGACTTGCTTAAGGTACCTTAGGATGTATGTAGCAGAACCAGAGAGGTCGAGGGCCCCAGGGTGTCCAACTGAGGGCTCCCTTTAGCACAGCAGGATAGAAACCATTCTAGATCACTAGTTACAATTTTAGAAAGGACGGAAGAGAGGTTCATCCTTTGTCCAAAGTGTTGAATTTTCTTTTGTAGTCAGGGGCCTGGGACTAACTTTATCCGGACAGGCTTGAAATGAAGACTCCTTCAAAATCTATAATTGCGTTAAAAAAAAACACCTCATATGTTAGCTTTCTTTTCCTTTATTATTTATTTGCCTCTGTGTGAGAATGGGGTAGAAGGCATAATACTGAGGATGGATGTAGATGTTGAGCCTTGGTTTTCTGATAGGTTCTATGATTTCACTGTTAACTTGGGAATCCTGACTC